AATCTTATTTTGTTAATAACAATTGCAATTTTTTACCTGCACCAAAATCCTTCGAAAACATTTTTGTAGAGGTGACTCCGAATCGAATGAGCTATCGCTCATATTTTTAGGACCTTCATCTCTATTTTTCATGTTTTTGAACTTGTTGATCAGACTAGTACACCATTTGATAGATTTTGTTTTTTTAAGCTCCCTTGTGGAATTCAATCAGCTCCGAAAGTTTTTCATAAACGTTTAAAAAATATTTTTGATCTCGAGGGGGTCGACACATATATATAGATTTGTAGATGATATAATTGTCCGAGAAAATAATAATATGAATATGATGCAAGCATGAAAAAATAATAGTGAAGATGATGAAGATAATAGATGAGTCAATAGCAGGTAATTTCGATTCTGACAACATTTTGTATGAAGTACTTGTAAAAACAATATTTTGTCAAAGGATCAAAACCTGATTGGTTAAAATAATAATGTATTGTGTAGACTTAAATGAAATTAATAAAAACACTTTTGAATAAATACCACTGGAAAATTTCATTTATACGACCGGTTTCGGGTTTGATCCCATTATCAAGTATAATCAAGTTTTATACTCGATAATGGGATCAAACCCAAAACCAGTCGCATAAATGAAATTTTCCAGTGGTATTTAGACAAAAGTGTCTTTATTCATTTCATTCAAGTGATCATGAATTACCATTGAGTAAACAAGTCATCAATCATACATATTGTGTAAACCCTGTTTTGATGATTTGGTTGAAATAAAAAATGTCATGAATGTATTTATTCGTATCTCGGGCAACCTGTATTTGAATATCAAAAGTTGAAATGGAAAAATTAACACATTTTATGCGACAAATAAACAACCAAACAAATCAAAACAAATAAACAGTAGTCTATCTCCAGCCTTTATTATATTTATATATTCTACGTTCAATACCTTCAATAAACTAGGCTGTGCTGATTGGGTTATACTGAAAAGTTGCATAAAACTCAATTTGACTTTTGTTCGAACGCAGTAACACTTCTGAGGTAATTTTATGATCAAATATTTCCATCTGTTATTATACGAAGGTTCTCGATGGACTGTTCTCACATACCATATATTTCCTTTAACCATTCTGATTCATGAATGTTTCATATCACTGTAAAAAAAGCTTATTATTTATATAATAAAATAATCCTTTTTTTTTTCAGATCAGTTACTCCTTCTCTGATATTGTATTAGCATTTGGAACATCATTTTTGCTGTATCTGGTAATTGAAGCACCTTTCAGAAATATATTTACGTTATTGATGGTAACATCTGATCACGCTACCAAGAAGAACAATACAAGACAAACTTCAGAGAATGTAAATGAGACAACCTGTGATAGTCACTTGTGAAATGTATATCTAGAAAAAAATCATGATTATTGTTCAATCTTATTCAGGAGTATAATTGCCAAAGGTTTGATGAGCCACTACGACATGTGACTATTCAATAATGATTTCCAATGCCAACTAATAATAATTCAAACGAATATCATAAGAAAAATCACATTTGGAAACTATTTCATCATTGACAACGGCAATAAAAAAATATTTATGAGTTGATCAATAATAACATAGCAGTTCTCAATTATTCAGCTCTTGATTGTATTACAATACTTGTTTATGATAGAATTGCTCACTTCCAAAAGTGTAACAGGTTATAAACTTACGATCAATTAGAATACACCATCCTGTAGGTTTTTTCAAATTTTCAATGAATATGAAACCATCACTAAACTTAAAATACTGTTATTTTTAAGAAACTCCTAACTGTAAAGAAAAGTAATGATTTCAGCTGAATGATGTTGTTTGTTATGAAAATAGGTAAAACAAAAAGAAAACTGTTCCAATCACAACCCATTCAAAATTTGAAAGCCATGACATCTCTTTTTACGCAGACATCATCTATGGGATCAACAGAAGACTCAATCCTCGAATATCAGAGGTTCACGAAACTTTCCAATCTTGACTATGCAACTGATCTTTGATATTCGAGGATTCTGTCTTCTGTCGATTTCAAAGATGACGTGTTCATAAGGGGAGATGTCATCGCCTTTGCTTTTAAGATTGCTCTTTTTGGGACAGTTCAGTGGTTCAGCCTGGCACCAATGATGAGATCTGGTAGGTCGTAAGGGCATTATCTGGTGGTGGATTAAAAGTTCATCTGACATTCTGATTTGAGAGAATTTTTTCTGGTGTATGCAAATGAGCCGTTGTGAATAATGTTATTATTTTTATCATTTTGGTGAATCAACTCTTCGAGCTCTGGATTCGTACCAGAACAAACAATAAAGTTCATGCTCCGTAATCCAAATGCTGAGTCCCATCACCATACTGCTCAGCTGTTTTGAATTCTCTCATCCACCGTCCTATAAGACTCAATGATAACCACAACAGTTCTGAGGAACTATACAAACTCATAGTCGTCCTTCACCAAAACAACTATCCCGTCTTCCAAATCCAAAAACCCATTCGTCGACAGCAAACCAAACCACACACCCTGAATCACCGGATAAACAGAATAATCAGCCATAAACTGTCCTCCCTTATATCTATGGAGTTACCAACAAATTAAGCCGAATTCTGAAGAGGCATAACGATAGAACAATATTCACAGCCAACAATTAAATCTCCACTTCTTTACACCCAAGTACACGTTACGCAATAAGGCACAAGGCATATACGAAATACAATGTTCTAACTCACCCCAGAACTTAAATCGGCCACACCAATAAAATAATTTTCAACAGAGCCTATGAACATGAACTAGCTGTTCGCAAATCAGATCCATCCTCATTCCTCTCCAAATATCACTTCGAAACAGGTCATACAATAAGCTTCTTTGAAATCGAAACTATTGCTATGGAGAAAAATGTTCAGGCCAGAATAATTCATGATGCCATTGAAAATGAGTCAGGAGACTGTCTGAACATACAAGATGATTCACAGAGACTACCGTTATCATGGAAGTCATTATTGTTTCGCCACACATCTCACAATTAACTCACATAAGCAGAAAGTCAAGAATCAATATCTGGCAGGCCAAGTACCTGTTCCGATACTTCTACTTCATACCTGTCCAGCAGAATGAATACTGGCCTCGAACAACAAAGTGACCAGTGTTCACTTATAGCTGAAGAAAGAAAGAACAAAGCCACTGACGAGACTTGGGCGTCAGGGAGATTACGACCCCGCCGTCGAGTCATGAAGGTCCAGTTTCCAGGGGTTCTTGAAAATGTCTTCAAAGTAGAAGCTGAAACGTCGAAAAGATGAATTCGTCGTTACCTTATTGTACCAAATAAAAAAACACAAATGTTATGCCACTGCGAATACGTATAGGTACTACTAATAAATTGCTTTCCTACTTTGATTTCGATATTACTTTCATTTCATATCTTAACAGATGGTAACAAGCAGACCGTCGACAAAAAAGCTTGAAAAGTCAAGGAATTATTCAATAATTTGAGAAGTGGAAGTAGGTGTACATATTTAGTTTATTTATTCAATAGGTGATATTATTTGTCATATTTTTGTAAATAAATTATAACAAAAAATGTTACATAGTTTTACTTTGACTTTGACAAATTAGACGAGGTTTATTTCCAGAGACTTATAGTTATTTTCACAATTATAGTGAACATTGAGAAAAATTCGCCCAATCACGATATAGAGCTATTTTATATATAGAGCGCCCAGAAAGTAACACATGAATGCATTGTCATCTGAATAAACAATATTATTGGATATCTCGATTTCAATTATTAATTTTCAACTCAATATGCGAGGTGACCTAAATTCTTTCACAGGTCTATTTAAAAATAATATACATTTCTGAAATTATATTGCTGGGCTGATTCCAAAACTATGTCACAAGTTACGACATCTTGGTCCAGGGTGGAAAAAATTACATAAGATGATTCAGAAATTTGATAGAAAAAGTATAAAACGTGAGAAATGAACGATATGAAAATTACATTAGCATTTCGTTCTATAAAAAAATAGTATAGGTTCAAAAACATTCTCCACTGACAGCTGAACAATAAAATGATCTAAGCATGTAGGTCCGAAGTTGGTGAATCAATTCTGCCTAGAACTACAATTCGCGATGATTCATTTTGGCTCATAAGTAGGCAAATTCGACCAAATGAATCCAACTTTTCGAAGA